TCTGCGTGTGGACAGACAAAACCGGAGTTTTAAGGTCACTTTCCGCGACAAAAAAAAGCTGACATCACGTGTGGGACCTGTGTTTACACTAGCCGACAGCATGGATGCCCTCAGAGCTGTGCTCGTTTTATCAATTGTCCAAGCGCTTTTTACTTGTTTGTTTTTGCAAGCGGAATTACTGCTCCTTGCGGAAGACCACAGACGAAGGACGAGGTTAAGAATGGCTATTGCCCGGCACCTGACTTCTCCAAGTACTGCCGCCTACAGGTCTGGCATGTCCTTAACAACGTATTTATCCGGGTACGTGTGGACAGTTTTTTTTTTAAACGAGGTGGTGTGGATGCAAGTTTTTGGAGGGGCGGATATTCGTTTTTTTTTTTTAAACCCGGCTACGTGTGGACTAGGCCTAATTTTAACTCTGACTTTTTTTAAAGGAGCATGTCTCTAAAATCAAGTTAAAGGAGTTTTTGAATTTTAACCAAGCATCCTCAACAATAGGAATGAGGCTAATTCTATGCCATTTCCCATCCATCCATTTTCTTTCGCTTATCCATAGTTGGGTCGCGGGGGCAACAGCTTAAGTCAAGAGACCCAGACTTCCCTCTCCCCAGTCACTTGGGCCAGCTTATCCGGGGGAATCCCAAGGCATTCCCTGGCCAGGCATGAAACATAGTCCCTCCACCGTGTCCTGGGTCACCCTTTAGGTCTCCTCCCCGTTGGATGTGCCCAGAAAACCTCAACAGGTTAGCGTCGAGGAGGCATCCTGACCAGATGCCCAAGCCACCTCAACGGGTTCCTCCTGACGTGGAGGAGCAGCGAGTCTACTCCAAGCCCCCACAAACGACTAAGCTTCTCACCCTATCTTTAATGGAGAGCCCAGCCATCCTGCGGAGAAAACTCATTTTAGCCGCTTGTATCCACCATCCCGTTCTATTGGTCACTACCCAAAGCTCGTGACCATAGGTGAGGGTAGGAACGTAGATCGACCGATAAATCAAGAGCTTCGCCTTCTGGCTCAGCTCCCTCTTCACCGTGACAGTTTGGTACAACGCCTGCATCACTGCAAATGCAGCACCAATCCACCTATCGATCTCACGCTCCAGCTTTCCCTCACTCGTGAACAAGACCCTGAGATACTTAAACTCCTCCACATGAGGCAGGACCTCATCCCTGACCTGGAGAAGGCATTCTACCCTTTTCCGACTCAAGACCATGGTCTCAGATTTAGAGGAACTGATTCTCATCCAAGCTGCTTCACACTCAGCTGCGAACCGCTCCAGCGAAAGTCGGAGATCACGTTCTAACGAAGCCAACAGGACCACATCATCGGCAAAAAGCAGAGACTCGATCCTCCGGCCACCAAAACGGATCCCTTCAACAACTTGGCTGCGCCTAGAAATCCTGTCCATAAAAGTTATGAACAGAATCGGTGACATAGGGCAGCCTTGGCGTAGTCCAACTCTCATTGGAAACAAGCCCAAATTACTGCCAGCAATACGGACCTAGTTATGACACCGGACATACAGGGACCTAACATCCTGTATCAGAGGACCTGGTATCTCATACTCCTGGAGTCCCCCCTGAAGGGCCCTCCAAGGGAAGCAGTCGAACGCCTTCTCCAAATCCACAAAACACATGTAGATTGGTTGGGCGAACTCCCACGCGCCCTCCAGGACAGACCTCCTGCGGTCCCCCATTTTAAAATGGGGTACCATCATCCTGGTCTGCCAGTCCAGTGGAACTGCCCCCAATATCCACGCGATATTGCAGAACCACGTCAGCCAACACAGCTCTATGACATCCAGAGCCTTAAGGAAATCTGGGCAGATCTCATCCACCCCCAGAGCCTTGCCACCAAGGAGCTTTTGCCAATCTCAGTGTCCTCAGCCGCAGAGATAGGAGAGTACAAACCAAAGTCCCCAGGTTCTGCTTCCTCACTGGAAGGCATGCTGGTGGGATTGAGGAGGTCTCCTAAGTTTTCCACCCACCAATGAGCTCACCGTCCTCATTATAAGAGGTCAGCAGCACACTGTCCTCATTATAACCAGTGTTGGTAGCACATTACTTTCCCCTCCTGAGGCTCCTGATGGTGAACCAGAATCTCCTTGAAGCTGTGCGGAAGTCTTGCTCCCAGAGGTGGAAATTGAAGCTCCTTCTGAAAGGACACTCTGCTAGAAGTTTGCAGCAGATCCTCACAATATGTTTGGGCCTGCCAGGTCTGACCAGCATCCTCCCCCACCGTTGGAGCCAACTCACCACCAGGTAGTGGTCAGCTGACAGCTCTGCTCTGGAGTACCCCCTAAAGGGCCTTCCGAGGGAAGCAGTCGAACACCTTCTCCAAATCCACAAAACACATGTAGATTGGTTGGGCGAACTCCCACGCACCCTCCAGGATGGACCATCATCATGGTCTGCCAGTCCAGTGGAACTGCCCCCGATATCCACGCGACATTGCAGAGCCACATCAGCCAACACAGCTCTATGACATCGTAGATGGATGAGGATGATTCTCTCCATAGTCTTCATCAGATGGTAGGTCAAGGTGACTGGTCTGCAGTGGTCTGGTTCCCTGGGATGTGATGTTTTGAAAACTGGAATCACAAAGGTCTTCCACAGAATGCGGACCTGCTCCAACCGAAGGGTCAGGTTGACCATGTTCGTGACCACTTCACAAAGCTGGACAACACAGTCTTTGAGCAGTCTGGGGCTGATCTCATCAGGACCTGCAGCCTTCTTGCTCTTAAGTCGTCTTAAGCCAAGTATTTTCCAGAGATGGATGTCTGGGATTAGTAAAGTATCTTTGAAAGCGTTATTCCTACACCTAGCCAGTGAATGTGTACATGACATTTATGACACGTTAGCAGCGAGCACAGACAAATACGCTAATGTGAAAACAAAGCTTGAAATATGAATGAAATGATGGAATGTAAGTAAGATGTTTGTAGCAAAACATCGTGTAAAAGAGAGCACTTGTGATGTCTGGGTTTGTAAAATCAGTTTGACTGTATGATTTAACAAGCTATGAATTGTTCATAAAATCATCCGACACAAGTGTGCAGGTCTATGATACCCGTGTTGGAAGCTCTGGGTGGTCCGGAGGAGGGGCGGCCAGGGTGGTGAGGTCACTGGACACAGTAGCTCCTGGAAACTCAAAGAGTCACAGCTCCCTTTGGATTCAGTTATCACCAGCCATAATATGGTTCCAGGGTCTACTAGTTAGATGTTCCATGTCTGAGGAGCTGTAGCATCTGACACAGCTCGCAACTGTTGCAGAGAGTCTTTGACCTTGAGGTCAAAAGGGAGGATGGTCCCAAGTGCTTGCTTACCCAGTCGGCCTAACCGAACTCTATTTTTATTAGCAACTGTTTACAAATTTAGACAAATCAGAATATGACAAGTTTAAAGGCGATACCAAAATACCTCAGGTAATCACACCTTCACCCAGATACTTAGAGAGGTTATTTCTTAATATGAAGTTAAAAATGTTAAATAGTTATATAAAGCAAAAATGTTTTAACCAGTAATGATAATATAGTAATATTACTGTGTTCATACTGATAGATTAACTTTATTAAAATCAACAAATACTAATCTAGTGTCATTTAAGATCTGAAATATATTAATTTGAACCCATCACTCATTAATGTAGAGTGTTGGACACATTATTAAAATGCTTTGGATTAAAACATATTGTTCATTCAACAAAATATGATTAATCAACACTTATGAAATTATAAAGTCATTTATGAGGCCGTGAAGAGTAGCTTTATTCAAAGAGGATAGATAAGAAGTCCTGCCTCTCTTGCAGTCTTGATGATCTTCTGGCCACAGGATAAGTTAAGAATATCGGGCCAAGTTCAAAGATGTCATATCAGCATCAAGGTGTCAGATTGACCGGTATGAAGAAGTTTGGCCTGTAAGTCAAAAGTTCACTTCTGAAAATTTTGATAGAATACTTGGCCATTTGGTACGCTACAGTGATGTGGAAAGGTGCTACTCAGACAGAACGAGAAGCTCTATCCATAGTGTGGAGTTGCAAACATTTTCATCTCTTAACTGTATGGACATCATTTATGTTAGCCACCAACCACAAAGCACTGGAGGCAATATGGAAAAATCCTCGCTCAAAGCCACCTGCAAGGATTGAGCGATGGGGCCTGCGACTACAACCATACTACCTCCAAGTGGTCTACAAAAAAGGAATGGAAAACCTATGAGATTGCATATCCCAACACCCAATCTCCGCTGAGCCTGGAGCACACACCAGGGCAACAAAAACGGAAGAATATGTCAACTTCATAGCACAACATGCCACACCAAGTGCAATGACTCTAGGTGAGATTAAAGAGGCAACCAGCCTCTTTAATCTCATGTCTTTAATCGACGTCTCGGACCAAATACTGCAAATGGTTAAGACGTGCATATTGGGCAACACATGGAACACCATCGACATTGACATGTGGGATGGTACTGTGCTAAGCAAGTACAAACAAATCCTCTACAAACTGACAATATCACTCACTGGAGACATACTGCTTCGTGGCACAAGTCTCATCAACCCCTCCGTTTTAGAAGGCAGGGTGCTACAGTTAGCCCACAAAGAAAATCAAGGCATTGTAAAAACAAAGACACTGCTAAGATCGAAGATTTGGTTCCCCAACATGGATCAGAAAGCAGAATTTGTGGTCAAGAACTGTTTGTACTGCCAATAGCGCACATTAAGCCTCTGCGCATGCCTGAACTACCTGAGTCAGTGTGCCAGGGTGCTTAATAAATTTAAAAGGCCCGCATACCCACATTCCCTTCCATCCCCAGAATTTTAAAAACAGTCTGACAATAAAAGCCCCTTCACAACACTCTTCCTCCGGAACACACACACGCACACACACACACACACACACACACACACACATGCCCCCCCCCCCCCCCCCCCCCCCCCCCCCCCCCATGGAAAAAACATGATGGGCTGAGATCAGTTGAGACAGACCAGCTAAGATAAGGATATGGGCTAGGCATTTGGCTGACATCCCCTAACCTTAATGAATGGGGCTCTATTCCTAACCTAAACTAAAAGATAACTCACACCATACCTCTAAAACCAAGTTTTGCACAGTACTAGTTAAAGCCAAAGTGTCCAATTAAACATTTAAAGACAAGTACACACACACACACACACACACACACACACACACACACACACACACACACACACACACATACACACACACACACACACCTTGTAAAAGCTGTTTATTTTACTCATTTCATCAGATCTGTGAGCCACTAGGGGCGACTAAAGAGAGGAGACTAAAGGGGACATGAGGCCTCTGGACTCCACATGAGGCCTCTGGACTCCACGTGATGCTCCCAGAGGTAAGGTTATGAGGGACCACCAGAGACAATATTCTAAATCACCTCTCATACGCATGTGGGGAAAAAACTGGGTTGAAAATAGGTGATTGTGGTCAGGACTTCATTTATTTGGAACACAGAAAATAAACCTTTTTAGAGCACCACAATGTCTGATTGGATCTTTACTGTTTTTCAGATATTGATAACCATCCTAGAGGACGAAAAGGCCAGTTGGTTGGTTGAGTCAAGTGGAGACACGCGCATGTCGGGACATTCCTGTAAATCCACCCTGACGTTCCAGTAGTGGAAATGAAGCGATTGTTCTTGTTTATTTCTACTTTTAGGGGGTTTATTAATATAACATTTTTTGAAAAGCGAGAACTCTTGTCAAGTTCCTAGTGTTGCTTGTATGATGGTGTCATAAAACGTGTAATCACAAAAGGTAATATCAGAGTTGTAGCAGGGTTTGCTTTTTTGTTTGTTTTTTAAAGCAAACTAGTAATAATTGATGCACATGTAATGACACGTCCCAGAGGAGCATGGCTACTGGCTGGAAGGATCTCCTGAAACCTTCTGTGCTCCAGCAGACCCAAAGAAGACTTTTATTTACCACTCTGCTCTGCTATGAACCTCAATGTGTTCTGTAGAGCAGTGGTTCCCAATCTTTTTTTTCAGATGACCCACATTTTGAAAAAGACAAAACATCGTGACCTCATTAAAAAAAAGTGTTTTTACTCATTGTAAATGCAACTGTTCTTTAAACAAAATCCAATGCATTTTCTTATCCTTTGCTGCACATTATCTCTAGATGCTGAAAAGGCTTTTGATAGAGTTAACTGGAAGTTCTTATTTGCAACTTTACATAAATTTGGTTTTGGGAACTTCTTCATAAACTGGCTACAAACAGTATACAGTTCACCAACAGCACGTGTCAGGACGAACGACCAAATATCAGCTAGCTTCTGTCTTCAGTGGGGGACCAGGCAGGGATGCCCACTCTCCTCCTAATTGTTTGCTTTCTTTATCGAACCACTAGCAGCAGGAATTAGGCAAACAACAGGTATTAAAGGCATTAAATGTAAGAAAATAGAACATAAGATTAGTCTTTATGCAGATGATGTTTTACTCTTTCTCCAGAACTCTCAATCCTCTCTCTCCCAAGCAATCGAACTAATGAACTATTTTTCAAGAGTTTCAGATTACTCAATAAACTGGTTAAAATCCACTGTTCTACCAATTAATTTCTCATTTGTCAATTTACTTAATACACAAATGGAGTCAGGGAATATCACATACCAGGGAATTGTCTCTTCCAAGTTGGCAGATCTAACCAAACTAAACTACATCCCAGTTTTAAAGAAAATGGAAGATGATTTTGCAAGATGGAAATCCTTACTGATATCACTCATGGGGAGGGTTGCTACAATTAAAATGATGGTCTTACCCAGAATAAATTACTTATCTTCAGGGCCCGACCGATATGCTTTTTTTGGGACCGATACCGTTATAAAACTTTTAACAAAGGCCGATAGCCAATATAATGGCCGATAAATCTCCCTCACAAAAAAAGGTAGCGCAATATTGGCCATATAGGCCGTCTTTTTGGCCGATAGCCGATAGTGTTAATGACCCCTATATCGGCCAACAATATCGGCCGGCCGATATATCGGTCGGGCCCTACTTATTTTCAATGATCCCAAACAAGTCACCAGCTGACTGGTTTAGATCTCTCGACTCCTCAATTACCAAATTCCTTTGGCAGGATAAACGTCCATGAATTAGCTTAAAAACACTTCAGAAGACCAAAGACAAAGGAGGACTGGATCTACCCAACTTTTATTATTATTTCTTAGCCAACAGGCTGCAATATATACCAAGATGGTTGCAAGATAACCCACTAGATGAGTCCTGGTCAGACATAGAACAGACACTTTGCAATATGATAGAGCTTTCAGAGTTACCATTTATTTGCTCAAGCATAAGAAAACATGAAGGCTTCAAAAGTATTAGTATCAGCACCTCTCTGACAGCATGGTGGGAGTATCTTAAAATGACAGAGTCTTCACTAGTACCATGCAGACGCACACCTATCTGGAATAATCCTGATATTTTGTAAAAAAAACAAACAAAATGATGAACCTTCCGGACTAGAATAATAAAGGAATCCTATACCTGGAACACATATATGAAGGATTGGACTTCATCCCATTTAATACAATAGTCTCCCAATTTTAAATAGATAAGAATAGCTTTTCAGAATATCACCAAATTAAATCTATAGTCAAACAAAAATTTAAGCTCAATAAAATAGAATTACAAACACCACCAAGGGTATTGGACTTCTATAATCTCAAACCCCCCAAACTACTGTCTAAAGTATATAAGACACTGTCCAAAATAGACGATAGAATAGCAATCCCTGTTGAAAAATGGGAGGTGCCCAACCAGCCATTCCTCCCCATCCCCGCATATTTCTCCTCCTGCTCCCTCACATCATCACACAAACATACACATAGGACCTTGGGGGGTGGACAAGTCAGGGAGTGCGGGTATGGACCCCATTTCCGCATTCCTGTGGCAATCTGCCCCCCAATTTTATTTGCACCTTATACACTTCCACCGATGACATTCCACGCAAACACACACTTAGGGCATTGGGAGTGAGCACATTCAACGGCACTTGGCAGGGGGATTTCTCAGCCTCCTCCCGAGTGCCGGTGCCCACTTCCAATTTTAAACTGCATTTAGACACCGAGGGCTGTGGGTGCAATTGGGGTGGTGCGGTGGCATCAGCTGGCATAGGCCAGACGATGCCCGCACTGCCCGCTCACCACAGCTATGGAATACACCGCATGAACACACAACACTATATTGGAGCAGGCGGAGGGAGACTAGGGGGTCTTAGCACACCTCTGTTGTTGCTTGGCTTCCTGGGGCTGGAGGCTAGGAGGGACCTCTGGCCATCTGGTTGGGGTCTGGGGTGGTGGGTTGCTGTGCTCATCGCTGGGCCGGGGAGCCTGCTCATCAGCACCCCAGTAGAAAGGGTCAAAATCTGGTAACCGGTGATGGTTTTACCCAATGTGAGCAGTACCGGGACCAGAGTGAATAGGGTGTGTATGGGGAGCATGAGTGGGTGTCCGGCGTACATTTTTGTAAGTCTTGGGTTGTATGTGCATGCGTGAGCATGAGGGAGGGAGTGTGTTACTGTGTTTGTGTATGACTGTATATGTCAGGTGGGGCCTTTGACTCCTCCCCTCTCCTGGGACTTCTTTTGATGATATAGATCTTCGTCTCCCCTCCCTCTGCCACACCTGGTGGGGTGTGGTGCCTTGGTCTGCCTGAGTGTTTGTGGCTCCCAGGTCAGGGGGTTTAAGATTTTTGGCGTCTGCCTGGTCAATCCCGGTGGCTGCCTGGTGGGGTCTGGGTCCCTGGGCTCTGCTGGGTCCCCGGCGGGGGTGGTCGCCCCTGGGTCACGGGCTCAGCCAGCTAGGGGGTGGGAGGCTACGGGCGGGCCTGTGGGCTTGCCGCTGATATCTCCCGGGACTCTGCCAGCTGCTGGTTGTGGCCCCCTGGGGCGATCCTCTGTGCCTCTCGAGGTGGGCGGGTGCCTTTCTGGTTGCAGTCTCCTTGGGGTTCCTATGTTCTGGGGCAGCACCTGGATCTCTGGGACTTGGAGCTCCCCCCGTCTCCTACACATTTTTGGGGGGCAGATCTGTGGCCCCTTACACTCTCTATTGGACGCTCCTGTAGAGAAATCTTACATAAACAAGCGCGTGTACACACACAGGTGCTCATATGGTGCTCTCATAAGTATGGACTTGGCCACATTCAACACATGTCAAGGCTGTGGTTGGCACTAAATGCACTGTGATTTATTATCGTGATTGTTCAGTTAAACAATGTTGATTTTATATTTCCTCATCAGGTTGACGCAGTGATAGTTTGCTCCTGTAGTATTGTTGTGTTTCCCTTTTCTGCAGGTCTAGAAGCAGACTCTTGTTCATCATTGATTGTTTATTTTTGTAAACCCCTTCCCTTTGTCTCTTCCTTTCTCTTTCAAATCCTTCTCCGTGTCTGGTCGGTATGACAAAGCATTCAAAAAACAATAACAATAAAGTTTAAAGTAGCAGGCATGACATTAAAGCAGAAGCTTTGATGCTCCACCTGAGAGTAAATCTGTAAGGCTTGTCACCTGCAATCAGACATTAATTCTGTTTGCTTCACATCCAGACAGGACACGAGGAAAAAAAGAAATAAAAAAATTAAAAAATTTAAATAAAAATAAAAAAAGAAAGAAAATTATTTTATAATTTGAAGAAAGTAGTATAGTTCCCCTTTTCTTCTTCCGGCTCTTGGAGGGTTCAGACGCTTTTTTCCTCCTCTCCTCCAAATCTTATCGTCAAGGCCCTTTGTCTGTCTGTGTGTGCTGGGTGCACGGCTGCTTCTGCATTTTTTCTGGAAACTGGAAACTGAAATTTACTAAAATGGATCTCGTCAGTTGGTCACTCAATGCGATAGATAAAAAATTTTCAATGATGAGAACGGGAGAAGGGGCTCCCAGATGCCTCTATGTGACAGACCCAGTTGGACACATCATGGACTCCTGGAAACAGTGGAACTTGATTTTTTTTATCTCAGCTGTCTCTGGAGGACTCTGAAGACATGTGGATATTCGTGGTGTTGGTGTCATGTTTCCTGCTCATTGGTCTTGGAGGCTACCTGGCTTACCGGAATATTTACGAGCTGTCGAGGAATATTGGCCTGATCCCTGAGCTCAGGGATGGTTTGCACCACGCTGTGAATTCACTTACTCACATAATTGTCGAGATGAATCGTACGCTTGGGACTTTTGCCAAGATTCATATTGGCACAAAAGATAGATGCCATCAAGGAGAGAGTGGACGAATCAGCACGGATTGGGATAGATTAATGTCCATTATTGGGATTTTGAGAGGTTGAGGACCAACAAACGGTAAGACAGAGAGGAAATGATCTCTGTCTGGCCCCAAAACAATTTCTAATCGGAATCTGGCGCCCTTGAGCCTGCAAGGCTCCAACGAAAACTACCCCCTCAGAAGATATGTGGAATGTGCCGTCGCTATGGCAACTCAACTCTGTCTCCTATCCCAGCCTGGGCGGGACTGCGGGAAGGCCGCTGAAACGTTCCAGGGTCACTGCAACCCTCCAACCCTCAATGCTCCTCCCCCTATCCACACTGAGGTGACATGTGCTGCTTCTATCGTGGCTGCAGGAACTGAAGTGGGAATAGTCCCAACCCACCACCCCACCTAGTGGACACTTATGTTGTGTTGTCTGAAGTCTGTTGCATATCTGTCTGAGGTGTTTTTTTGCAGAGCAAAGCTGCCCTCCCGGTGGAGGGTAACTCTGAAGTGCCTTTTTTCCCCTCCACCTGAACCACCCCTCATGTAACCCTCATCTCTATTAAGGTAGCGCGACTCAGGGTTGCGAATGACTACAGTCACCAATTCTTGTCATGTGTCTTGCCCATGTATGTCTGATCTCTGAATTGTGTGTACTGAAACTCTAATTTCCCTCTGGGATTAATAAATAATAATAATAATAATAATAATAATAATAATAATAGCCTTTATTGCCATTGTACAGGATACAACGAAATTGGAGTGCCACTCCCTTGGTGCACAATACAATAATACCTCTAAATATAAAGGTCCCCTAAAACAAAACAATAGTCAGTAACAACACAATAGTAAGTAACAAAAACACTAGTAAGTGACAAAATAATAGAAAGTAATATATGCCGACTAGCACACTATATACAGAACAGCAGCTACCATATCATGTAAAAAAAATGGCATTAGAATAGCAGTATAGTAGTTGACGGTGACCTTGACAGTCGCTAAGCAGTTTTAATTGTTTTTATGCTTATTCACTATAGAGATCGCCCTGGGAAAGAAGCTATCCCTGAATCTGTTTGACCTTGTTTTATGTGACCTATACCGTCGACCTGATGGTAATAGTTGAAAGACGTGATTGCTGGGGTGAGATTGGTCCTTGATGATATGAAAGTATATTTGATTTGATTTGATTTGATTTTAAATTCAATAAATACAACTCTCTGCCTTCAGCAGACTAAGTAATGACTGAGAATTGTTTCACATTGTCCTCTGTTATTTAGTTTTTCTTCCTCCCATGCAGTATTTAATAAAAGGTTCATTTCTAGTCTTCATTCTGCAGCTTTTTACTCTTAGCTGTAGGGATTTTTTTTTGCCACATTATTATATTTATTTTCCCCTTCCAGTCACAATCACAGCTTTATTCAAGACAAACTTCAGGATGGAGTTCCCTTTGACCTCTAGGAGCTGCCTGCATTTACAATTATAGGGATCTCGTGTGGCTTCCTGGGAGCGTTCTTTGGTTACCTGAACAGACAGGTGGTTCTGTTTATGAGGAGGCCGATGGCTCTCACTTGCTTTCTAACCAAACATTGTTTGATCTGTCCTGGAGCAGTGACACTGGTCATCGCCACCTTCACGTTTCCCCCTGGTTTTGGACAGTTTATGGCCGGGGAGCTGATGCCCAGAGAATGCATCAACTCCCTTTTCGATATTTTCACCTGGACCAAAATCGCTGGGCCCCCTGCTCCAACTGGCCTCGGTTGCTCTTCCGCATGGCTGCATCCTCGTGTCAGCGTCTTCTTTGTCCTCCTCCTCTTCTTCATCATGAAGTTCTGGATGTCAGCAGTTTCCACCACCATGCCCATCCCCTCCGGTGCCTTTTTGCCCACGTTCATTTTAGAAGGTGCGTTCGGTCGGCTTGTCGGGGAGATCACGGCCACGCTTTTCTCAAACGGGATACTGTTTGATGAAATCATTTGCCGAACACTACCAGGAGGCTATGCCGTCATTGGCACGGCGGTGATGAGGGGCGCTGTCACACACACAGTTTCCACAGCGGTGATCTGCTTCGAGCTGACGGGTCAGATCTCCCAAATCCTACCCATGATGGTGGCGGTCATCCTGGCCAACATGGTGGCCCAGGGTCTGCAACCGTCTATCTACGACTCCATCATCCAGGTGAAGAGGCTACCCTACCTGCCGGAGCTGGCTCTCGGACACATCAGCAAGTACAACATCTTCGTGGAGGACATCATGGTGTGCAAAGTCAAGTTCCTGTCTTCTCAGTCCACCTACCGGCAATTAAACCACCTGCTGGAGACCACCACCCTGAAAACCATCCCGCTCGTCGACTCTAAAGAATGCATGATTCTACTTGGCTCGATTGAGAGGACTGAGCTTCAGGCTGTCTTGGACTGGTGGCTCTCTCCAGAAAGGCGAGTCTTTGAAAGAGGTCAGTGTTCACCAGACCAAGGCTCCAAAACCAGCTGGGAGTCCTTCACCTTTGTAGACGAGGAGGAAGACAATGTTCCTGACAAGACCGTCACGCCCGCTCAGGAGGAATGCAATGGGCCCATCCCATCCCCCGCCCCTCAGGAGCCCTCCACCAACAACAGACAAACGCAAGCTGCCATCTGTCAGGAGGACTCTTCAGCGACTCTTCTCCTCCTCGTCTTCGACAGATCAGGCGGAAACTCAGGAAGCCATGACTCCTCCGCTCGCTGACACCATGTGCCCTGAGGAGATCAAAACCTGAGAGGAGGCGGAGCTGGACAAGCCTTTTGACATGGAGAAGAAGAAGAAGAAGAAAATATAATTTCTATAGCGCCTCTCAAGATAAAAATCACATGGCGCTTCACAAAAACAAAAACTAAAAATATTTAAAAAATATAAAAAAGCATTTAGAAAATGTTTAAAAATATATTTCAAATGAGCAAAAATAAGCAATTGCGATTTAAAAGAAAAAATGTAAAGAAAGAGAGAGAGTGAATAGGAAAGAGGGAAATCAGTGGATCCTGAGGAAGGTGGAATAGGTGGGGAGAGCAGAATAAAGAGAGAGTGGTTGAAGAAGGTCATACAAATGCCAGCTTGAACAAGTGAGTCTTCAGCTGCTTTTTGAAGGAGACCACTGAGTCCACTGGTCTCATGCTCAGGGGGAGAGAGTTCCAGAGTCTGGGGGCCACAGCAGCAGATGATCTGTCAACTTTGGTCTTGAGCCTGGTGCTGCACAACCAGTAGGCTTTGATCACTGGACCTTAGGGACCTGCTGGGGGTGTAGGGACTAAGAAGATCACCAATGTAAGATGGTGTTCGTCCATGTAAGGCCCTATAGACCAGAACCAGAATCTTGAAATGAACCCTGAAGTTGACTGGCAGCCAGTGAAGCTGGAGGAGAAGCGGGGTGATGTGGGTGTGTTTGGAGGACTTGGTCAGAAGCCGAGCACAGGCATTCTGAACCACCTGTAGATGGTTCAGGGAGGTTCTGCTCAGACACTTGAAAAGAGAGTTACAGTAGTCTAAGCGTGAGGAGATGAAGGTGTGGAGAACTGTCTCAAGTTCAGAGCGGGACAGAATGGGACTCAGCTTAGCAATGTTCCTGAGATGGAAGAAGGAAGAGTGAACAAGAGAACTGACATGAGAATCCAGGAGGAGAGCTGGGTCAAAGGTCACGCCAAGATTCCTGACGGAAGGTTTGGTGTGGGAAGCAAGCTGACCAAGAGAGTCTCTGACTTTGGGAACCAGCTTGTCTGGGGCACAGATGAGGATCTCAGTCTTATCTTCATTCAGCTGTAGAAAGCTCCTAGCCATCCAGGTTTTGATAGAGTCTAAGCAGGTGTGTAACAGCTGCAGCTTAGACATCTCATGGGGCTTAAAGGAGATTTACAGTTGGATGTCATCTGCATAAAGTTGGTAGGAGATTCCTTTGAAGGAGCTCAGGATGTGCTGAAGAGGAAGCAGATAGAGGAGGAAGAGTAGAGGCCCCAGCACAGAACCTTGTGGGACACCATGGGTAAGAGAGGTAGTGGAGGACCTAAACTTGGAGACGGCCATAGAAAAGGAGCGCTCAGAAAGATAAGAGGAGAACCACTCCAGAGCAGATCCTGATAGGCCTACCCAGTCTCTCAGCCTCTCCAGTTGCAGGTGATGGTCAACCGTGTCAAAGGCTGCAGTCAGGTCCAGCAGGACCAGAACAGAACAGTCTCCTGCATCACTGTGTGTCAGAAGGTCATTAGAGACCCTAAGAAGAGCTGTTTCAATAGAATGAGCTCTACGAAAACCTGACTGGAAGCTATCATAGATGTTATGTTTATCAAGAGCAGCTGTGAGTTGTTTAGCCACAACCTTTTCCAAGATCTTGGAGATGAACGGAAGTTTAGAGATGGGTCTGAAGCTGCTATGGAGAGAGGGGTCAAGACTCGGGTTTTTAAGAAGCGGGAGGATTACAGCGTTCTTAAAGTAAGCAGGGACCTGACCAGAAGCCAGAGAAGCATTAATTATAGCGAGAACACTGGGGCCGATGGACTGAAAAGCACTTTTAAACAAAGATGGGGGTAAGATGTCGAGGGGGCATGCAGAGGTCTTCATAGAGTTAACTAGTTTGGTTAACTCAGGCAAAGAAACAGGAGCAAAGCTATCTAGGATGACGGGCCAGGGTGGAGTTAGGAGAGGCAGAGATAAGGCTGAGGGAGAGATGCTAGATCTAACCTTATTGACTTTTTCCACAAAGAAAGACAGAAAGTTCTCACAGTCTGTAACAGAGTGGATGGAGGCTGTAGGAGAGGCAGGAGAGACGATGCTGCTGATGGTGTTAAACAGCACCTTGGGGTTCCCTTTGCTCTGGGACACCAGGTTGGAGAAATAGGAAACCCTTGCGTCTCTGACTGCAGAGTTAAAGGATGTCAGAAGATCCTTTAGGTCACATATGTCAGAGTCAAGGCCCGCGGGCCGCATCTGGCCCGCGGAGCATTTTTATGTGGCCCGCGAGATAAATATCAAAAATATATTAAAACTGGCCCGCTGGCCGATTTTACCGCAAAGACTACAACTCCCATGATGCTTTGCGGCGCCAGCGCGGAGCAGACGCGCCCCCTCCTTTGTGTTTTTTCAGCGCCGAGGCAGTCAGGGGTAGTTGGGTGTCTGCAGCTCCGCTGTCTCGGACAAACTACACTCCTCTCACTCAGCGCCGAGTTCACTCAGCTGTTTTCTGACGTTGAAGCCCAGAAACGGAGATTCCCGCCGCTCAGTAATGTGTTCACTACTTAAAGAGGAAGTTTTCAAACTAACTTCCAGACAGAGCTGATATAACTCCAGCGAGCAGCAACACGCTCAAACCAGCACGGCTTTGTGGTTGTGTTTCCTCCCCGACACACAACAATGTGGTCAAGCTGCTCAGACATGTTCATCAGCACAAACCTATGTGAGCACCTGTTGTCATCTAATGTTGTCATTATTATGATGAAGATGAACAAAACAACAGGAGTCTCCTCCTCAGCTCAGATCAACCCCATGATGCAGGTATCTGGCTGGAACAGGTGAGCATCACAGTAAACCTGTGGAACAAACTGAGCTCTAAATATGTTGGTTTTATGCTCTTTTTCTGCTCCAAAACATGAAAGTTAACAGGTGAGATGTTGCATTTTCATTTAAGATAAAATTATATTTTTATTTTGTTGTTGGCACGTGAGAAAAGATTTAACCTACAGTAAACAGGAAGTGGAAAGGCTGCAGATAGATGAATAGAATAGAAAATCCCTTTATTGTTCCTCAGTGGGGAAAGCTAGACGTCACAGCAGCGATGACACTTATTACAGGAGAAAAAAAGGAGAATTAAAATAAGAAAAATGAATAAACAAGAAAACATAAATCCTGAATAGATTTAAAAAATGCTGAATATACCACAAGTAATGATGTGTTTTATTTGTAACTGACTTGCTCGTGTGTAATTTGGTTATTCCACATTCAGTGTTAATGCAGAAATATGTTTGTTTCCAAATTTAAATGTTCAAAATTGCATATATGTTGATAAAGAAAACGTGCAAATTTGCCGTCACTTTTTAAAAAAATATTAAGTTTGGCCCTCGACTCCGTCCCAGAGTTTCATTTCGGCCCCTTGTGAGTTTGAGTTTGACACTCCTGCTTTAGGTGCAGCAGATGGACGTGGAGATGGGTTTTCTTCTACAAGCGCTCAATTTTTCTGCATTGGCGCGTCAGGCTGCGAAGGCTGTCATTAAACCAGGGAGTAGGGTTCACTGCAGGAACTGATCTGGTTCTGACAGGACAGACGTTGTCCAGAATGGAGAGGCAGTGCTCGTTGAACTGAGAAGTTAAGGAATCTGGGTCGTTATCAGAAGAACAGAGTGGATCAAAAGCAGCAGAAAAATTGCTAGCTATGCTCTCAGTAATCCTGCATGCTCAGATCATTCCCTTCCCTCGCTTGAAAACTTGTTCCAAAATGAAAGTTGAACCCACATCTTTTTTATCTGTGAATTCAATGCCGTTCGGCGAGTGTCAAATAAAAATTTGGGCATCTTACTGTAAAAAAAATACCATTAATGTAAAAAAAAATAAAAACTTTAAATGAACTATGTTCACACCCAAAATCAAACCCAGGTCTTCTGCATGAGAGTCAGATGTCTTACAAGGTGAGCTACACTCTAGTAACATTCACAGTATATGTAACTTTTATATCCTTGATGACACCTGAAACAACGTCAAACCAAAGAACGGTTTGGAGTGAAAGTGGCTATTTTGTTGCTAATTTGCAGGAAATATCTAGAAGAAAGTTCTACAGAAAGTAGCTAAGGGTCCTCAGAAATGTAGCTAGGTTCATCACTAGGCGTTAGGAACAGCGACAAAGTGGCACTACCTCTCTCTCTGCTGCTAAAGCTACGGATAGCAAATGCTACGGGCTATGCCTGAGTGTGAATGCGCATGAAGCAGCCTGCTCGACCCGAGCGTCTCTCTTTTTCTGTGATTTTACAGAAAAACAGGTAATCACAGTAAAAATGCCAGGGCTCATTCTACAGGACCAGGGCATTGCAGGAGAATGTATGAAGAAGAAATTTATTATTTCTATACATGTTTTGGCTGTCAAACTTCCATAATGCCCCTTTAAACTTGTTTAAAATGTGATAAAATGGAAACTAAATCTAATGTCTTCCATCAGTGTTAATTTTGACTAGAGATATTTTAATTTAATTAGTTTTTAATTTTTGTAAAGATTTAGTCATCGGTTTGAAAACTTCAGCTTTAAGCTGGCTATCCTCAGTTTTAGTAACTTGCGACACAAATAAAGCAGTTTTGATTTACACGTCACATAAATTCTTGGTCTTAGTGGTTTGGAGCTCGTCTCTCTTAGGAATATTCATACTAGCTGATTTTCTGACATTTGATTTGTGGCCACATTCATCTGGAGTTTGTTCTGCTCATCATGTTTGAATTTCTTAAAATCGAACTTGAAGCACAGCTGACTCTAGAGGAATGGAGACAGAAAGTGAGAAAGCAGTCACCAGGAAGTAGTCATAATGGAAGACTTGAAGTTCAGGTCACTAGTTCAGAATGTTGCTGTGACTTCACAGTCAAGCTGCAAAGCCAAACCTCAGTCGTGCTCTGCAATAAAATGCAGATTTCTCCTCTGCCCGCATTTGAACTCTTCGTCTCCTTTTCTTGTGTGGAACGTGCTGTAGGATAGAAGTCACATTAATCCAGTGTGTGGTCAGCCTGACGTTCCTGAACAGAATGTGCACTCACTGAGAAAAGCGTCCTGCTGAGGGGAAAAACCAACAACTCAAGTTCAGAGGAACCGAGCTGTGACTGAATAAGCATCCTTGTAAATGTTTTCACCACAAATGTTAAGAACCCCAAAGGAAATAATGGTAGAGGCTGTGTGTGTGTTTCCTAAAGTACACCGTAAAGGTACCTGTGATTTATTAGGGTTAGCTCTCACTTCACTTTAGAAGGAACATTTTCACTGCTAGTGGTTAGCTCTGTCTCCTCAGAGCTGGGGCCTTTCCATGTGAGAGTTTGGAGGTTCGTCATGCATCTGGAGGCCTTCTCACCCCTTGACTGAATGTAAAAGGCTCTTTTACAGTACCGCCGCAATTTCCAAGTGTTGTGATTCTCGCACATATGGCAATAAAACCTTCTGATTCTGATTACACGCAAGACTGAGCATGATCTCTTCTTTAAGAAACTGGTGATTTTTCTAGTATGTTTCAGTTCTGAGATGTGAGCTTATGAAATGCAGGCTGATATTTGTTGTGATATTTTGGTATTGACCTGATGGATATGGGCCAACGCTCATTTCAAAGTTACCGAGAGGAAACAGGAGATGCGAATGTGCTTGTGTGTAACACTGGAACAGTTAAATGCATTGCGTCAGTAATGACAACAGAACCGTTTTCATGAGCATTCACGAGTCGGGTCAAGAACAGACATTTCCCTCTCACTCATGGTTCAGCCAGACCACACCTATGCATGCCACTAAGCACACTGGGAAACCAAGACCAGCAACAGGTCAGTCTGCCATGACAGTCCTGCTTGTGTCTGCCTCCAAAGAGTAATTTGTATAGAATACAATAATACATTGTATTGTAATAGAATACAATTGTAATAGAATAAAGTAGGGCTGGGCGATATGGCCTAAAGTCAATATATGTTGAGGATTTCACCTCGACAATGATAAATGGACGATAACCACAGGTATGGGCAGAAACAAAAGTTGTCCACTAGAGGGGGCTGTCACATGTACCACACAAGTCACATTTTTATGTGACTCTAGGTGGTACAGCTCCTTAAAGGGACATGAATGCTGCCAACCTATACACATCTTTTCATTTTTTTATTATCAAATTTATCGACATGGGAAAAATTCTCTCGCTAAGAGGCAGAAATTTCGATAATGATAAATTTTCGATTGATAGGTCAATGTAATTTAGTTCTATGTAAGGAAAGTAAGGTTCACAAAAGTGTGGCGTCCAGAACGAGCTTATAAGCGAGCATTTACAAGCAACGTTGTCCAAATGACGTGCTGCACAACAGGTTCCAACAGACACTTCTGAAGTGATCACGCTCCCAAGCTACTATTGGTTTATTCATGATGTAACGAGTGTCATATTTTAGTTGTGCGTCAAAATTACAGTATAAAGAGTAGATGGAAAAAGTGTTTGTATTATTTATAGAGCACAACAGGTAACCCTCCCTTTTGGCGCCTTTTTCATATAGGAAGTGTGGGTGAAGTAAGACTCTGGTAGGGGGTGGCTTGCTTTTTAACACTAAAGCTCCCAGAAATCAGACTTCACTAGAACTCCCAGTAACCGTCTGTGGAGGCGAGGGGTGCATTGCTATCAGAGGACACTTCCTACTGACCAGCTGTCCCTCCTCCGCCTGAAGCAGCTCTATTCTCATGCTTGTTTCACTGAGAATATTCTTCTAAAAGCCATTTTAGCAGCTATTTCACATAGAGTTTGAACAAAGAGTGAGCGCACGGGAGCTGGAAAGTAGGTTGCTTAGCAACGACAACGCTGTCCGTCATCCTCCGGAAAACTTTACCAGTACACAATAGAGTCGTCAGATTGACGGCTTGTGGGAGACAAAGTCAAAAACAACTATTTTGTTTTCATACATTATTTTATGGAAATTACAACGCAAAAATAAAGTACACACAAAAATAGGAAAAGCCAGGAAGCCAGGACAACATGAGATCCATCTGACAAAATTTATTACAAATCAAAATATAAAAATGAATGCCAACGAAAACGAAAACCATATTGTTCAAGGTTCAACAATCCGACGGACCCTCCTCTCCAGAAGCTCTGAATAGACCTTACCAGGAAGGCTCAGGAGTGTGATCCCCCTGTAGTTGGAACACACCCTGCGGTCCCCCCTTTTAAATAAGGGGACCACCACCCCGGTCTGCCAGTCCAGTGGGACTGCCCACGATGTCCACGCGATATTGGAGAGCCACATCAGCCAACACAGCCCCACAGCATCCAGAGCCTTAAGTAACTCCGGGCGGATCTCATCCACCCCCTGGAGCCTTGCCACAGCGGAGCTTTTTAACCACCTCAGTGACCTCAACACCTGAGATTTGAGAAGCCAACCCAAAGTCCCCAGACTTTTTTTCCTCACTGGAAGACGTGTTGGTGGGATTGAGGAGGTCATCGAAGTATTCTGCCCACCGATCCACAACGTCCTGAGTAGAGGTCAGCAGCACACAGTCCCCACTATAGATAGTGTTGGTAGCGCACTGTTTTCTCCCCCTGAGGCGCCGGATGGTGGACCAGAATCTCCTCGAAGCGTATGGAAGTCTTGCTCTATGGTCTCACCGAACTCCTCCCATGCCCGGGTTTTTGCCTTGGCGACCACCCGAGCCGCGTTCCACTTGGACTGCCGCTACCCGTCAGCTGCCTCTGGAGTCCCACAGGCCAAAAAGACTTGATAGGACTCTTTCTTCAGCTTTACTGCATCCCTAACCGCCGGTGTCCACCAGCGAGTCCAGGGGTTGCCACACGACAGGCACAGATGATCCTGCGTTGATGCCCCTTTTTTTCATAATGAAAACGAGATGCTGATGAGCTAAAAATAGCTGTTTGGTGACTAAAACACGACGAGACAAACGGGAATTTTCGTTAACGAGCAGAGACAAAAACTGTGCTGAAAATGCACATTTCTGCCTGTCTCTCAACAGTTACAACTGTGTCAGCTCTAGTGATGTGTCGGTCGCGAACGAACCGGCTCTAAGAGCTGGCTCTTTGAAGTGAACAACGGGAGCCGGCTCGTCATTGGGAGCCGTCCCCTCCCCTCCCCCCTCCCCCCTGCTTTGGTGAAAGCTACAGGCTCTCATGTCAACAGGTCAACATGTGTAACTGTGTGTCCAGACTGTCCACACACAGAGCAGTAGGGGTGGGGAAGAGAGAGGATCAGACTCAGACACACAGCAGAGCACATGCGGGTGGAGGGAGACGAGAGGGAATGACGAGGAGGAAAAAGGCAAGCGAGAGGAAGGAGAGTGCGACAAAGACGGTGAGAAAATGAGCGCCAGCAGTCGGAAAGTGGAGATTTCTTTAAGTGTTCAGTTATTAAATCCATAGAAATGATAAACTTTTGATATATTGCTTTTTTTACATTAGTAAATTATTTTACATATGTTTAGCATTATTTTGGTTACAAATGGACTCTATGCAACAGAAAATCTGAGGAGCCACTTGGGAGCCGAAAGAGCCGGCTCTTTTTGGTGAGCTGAGCCAAAAGAACCAGCTCTCTAAAAAGCGCCGGAATTCCCATCACTAGTCAGCACTGCTGCTGTCTGTGTCCTCTGATCAGACCAGCCTCAGCAGCTGAGTGAAGCTGGCTCCCCACCTACACCAGAGAGAACTAACCACTTTATTTATGCAGATTTCTGGTGTGGGTTGGAAGCCAACTTCACTCAGCTCGGCTCAGCGCTTCCCTGCCGCATGAGTGATGACGTTGCTTCTTAAAAATATATCCATGATATTAACACATTTCTCATCCGTGTGCTTCCTGAAACAGTCATGCTTTTGAGCAGATAAATGAAAGAAATTACGGTTTTTAACAGATTTTATCTGAACACGTTTAAGGTTTTAAAGTCAGTGTGTCAGGATTATTGTCTCTGCTTTCTGGTTCCTAATAACGGGTCACATTCCTGCATTTTAACCAAACAGCATAACAGTTTAAGCCCATCTAAATGTTTATGAGCATCTCTGCTGATGCTCAAGAGCAGAACTGGTTATTTATATTAATTCTGTTAAAACTCACAACACTGCAGCCTCTGGAAACACATTACTGCATTTAAGTAGGTGGATGTTGCCACAATATGTATTTAAAGACACTAAGATGGAGGTCTGATGACTCAAATAATTAATGAAACCAACACATTTATTTATCTCTGTACAAGTATTGTGTAGAATACTCCGTATGCACACTGAGTCCATTCTGTTAAGGAAAGAAAATAATGCATTTGTTTTGTGAAAATCTACAGAATGATGCATAGATCTGCATCAATAAATTATATACACTGTTGTGATTATCAATAAAGTAAAAATATGATACCAGTCTGGGGATTATTGTTTTGCACAGTCTGGGACAGCTGAGATTTTGTCTCATAGCCATAAAATAATGATGTTGGTATGAAACTCACTCCAGTAGCTCAGAGCACACGTCTGACCCGTAGATGCATTTGTTAGAGAATAACACTTTGGTTAATATTTGTAAAATTAAAAAACAAAAATATTTGTCGACTAAAACCTTTTTGAATTTTAGTCGACTAAAACTGACAAAGACTAAAATGCGTTTTCGTCATCAAGAGTAAAACTAAGATGTCCGCCAAAAACAACACTTGTGACAAAGATTGATGGATTCTTAAATCAGCCATTTTTTTTTCTATTTTCAGGAACTGGATGCAGTCCAGATTTACTCTTCTTCCTGTGTGCCATGTATGCTCCCATTTGCACCATCGACTTTCAGCACGAGCCCATCAAGCCCTGCAAGGCGGTGTGTGAGAGGGCGAAGTCTGGTTGTGAGCCAGTGATGAAGCGTTACAACCACAGCTGGCCTGACAGCCTGGCCTGCAGCGAGCTGCCGCTGTACGACCGCGGAGTCTGCATCTCACCTGAAGCCATCGTCAAGGCAGAGGGACCTGGTAGAGTTTTGTTTTATAGATTTTTAGCTGACAATTAGAACATTTCACAAATCTTAAGAGACCTTTTTAACTTTTAAACATGCTTTTGTGTGTTTACTTTGACCTACTGGAAGTACGGGTACGGGTAAACACTTGGTGGTTTGTGAATGACAACTCAGACACACTGCAAGTATTTACACTACCAAATATTTCACACAAGGGCCTTTTTTGACACTAATCATCGTCGGGGCTAGCAGCACTTCCCTGTGTTCAGCTCTGGAGACCCTCTTCTTCTGCTTCAGGAGGGCTTTGATGTGTATTTTACCCACGATTCCCTGTTTGGGTAACGCGTGACAGTCTTTGCAGAAGCGTTTAGTGAGCCCATCAGTGATTTCACACTAATTCTGTGATTCATGACCCCGGCTTTCCACAGGAACCGTCAGCAGCACGTTACTGCAGCAGCACGTCATAGCTGCTGATAGGAACCGCTGTGGTCAACAGAACCTTTTCCACTGGAGCCGTCAGCAGCCGTCAGCAGCGCGAGTCGGCCGCATCTCAGGAGCAGCATGTCGCGGCCTTTACGCGCCGGTTCTATTTTCTACGCGCGACGCCTCTGAAACGGGTCAAGTTCGACATTTTTGGGGTAGGAAAGACAGGAAATTGGACGCGGAAATGGAGAGAAGCTCTCGAGATTTTCAGAATAAAGAACGTACTGCCTTCCGGTTGCTTTACTTTTAAAAAAGGTTACTAACTGTGCGGCCCCGTGAGAAGTTATCACCTAGCTAGCGGTCTCCTTTGTTTTTCAGGTCCGTATTGGCGATTATCAAACGGACAGAACATAAAACACAAACCATATTGTAAATTTCTCCTGCTTGTTGTTGTGTTTACTGACGAAGTTACTCGTGTGACTTCGTGCTCTGTCGGTGACAGCTGCTGCCCTGCTGCTTCGCGTCTCGTGGGATGGGCCAAGCAGCAGCTAGACGTGCTGCTGCAGTAACGTGCTGCTGACGGCTCCCGTGGAAACCCGGGGTGACTGATAAATAACAGGGAGCGCCCCCCCCCCAAGCACTTTCCAGACAGTCTGGAAGCCCTGGATGGAAACAGGAACATGACTCAGCAGAGTCTGGGTGAGTGATGGCAGCTCATCTATCTTGTTTAAACCAGTCTCACGTTCCCCATAGTCTCAGATGAGAAACAACCTTTCTTCCATTGCATCTTTTTTCTGTAACCAAACTCTTTTACGTCTCTGCATCCTCTACCTGTTTTGTTTCAGACTGCAGTAGAAGTCAGAGTTGATTTAGTTCATGAGACTGTTGTAAGGCCGTTAGGATTAACCAAACCTGAGGTGTGAACTTTCTCACCACTACATGATAAAATCTCCTCAAACATTTCTGTTTCGGCGGGTTTTATTGTATTTCTGTTATTTTAGCTCTTTACAGTGTCGATGATTCGTAGCCAAACTTTGTACCAAATGACCAAACCTCATACTGTTTCCTATGGGTTGTGGATGCTGATGTTGGACCCAGAGAGACCAGGAGGCAGCCAGGTGAAGAAGTAAATAAAACCTTTAGTGGATGAGCCAGATGAGTAACAAGAGAACATGAGGAGAACAGTATAAACACACACAGCATACACAAGGAACCAACAAGGAATATGACAGAGCTGTGGTTTCAGTCAGACTGAGGAGGTGAGTGGACATGAGGGACGGGTGTGATCGTCTAACAGAGTAGGGAGATGAAACACTTTAACCACCTGGAGGCAGGCGTTGCAGATTAGCACCTACCTACCTGGTTACTTCACATACGTGTTTCATGAGCATTTTTTAACCCAGAAGTACTCCTGAAGGACTTAGTTGTTCGTCCTTTTATCAAAACTTATTTAGAACCTGAGAGAGTTAAAACACCTTCACTTATGTCTCAGTGTGATCAGAATGTAGTTATGTTTTATTCCAAATTAGGTTTCCAATGTCTCCCAAAGTTTTCACGCGTTCTGGCTCACTCAGACTAACCAGCGGGGAATGTGTGCAGCTAATCGGTTTTCTATTGCAGTTTGGATTTTGTTTCATAACTTTCATAAAACGAAATGAAATCAGCATTCTTCACATTCTGCTTCCAGGCATGTTGGCTTTCCTTCCGAATGCTTCCCCTCTTCAGACGGGCAAACTCACGAACATCGTGAAAACCTTTTTCCAGCCTAGCAACTTTGCCTTTCTCTGTATACTGAACTTTGCAGGCTCTATCAGAATGAAAACCTCATGTTGTCTGCTACCTCTCAAACTGATATGGTGAGTCATTTCCCCTCTGATTTCACTCCCACGGACTTTCTCAAAGATCTCCTTGACACAAGCAGTAAGCTCAGTTTACATGCCAGAAAACACTGAGTGTCCTGCTTCTCCGCCCTGGCTCGGCTCTGCGCTGCAGGGCTTTGGGAGTTTCTCTCAGCGTGATTTGTTGGTTTGCTAAGGGTCATTTGGGGTGGACTGGTTAAGGCCTTTTAGTGATTTTCTGCGAGAATCTGTCTTGGAAGTAAATCCAAAGCAGGTGCAGTTTTTCAGAATGTCATTATTCTTGGCAGAGGACCCGATCATCAGCAGAGGAATGTCATATTTACCTTCCTATGAACAGTCTTGTGCTCAAAAGGCCAAACTGTTTATCTCCGCTACAGCTGGGATGAGATTATGGAAAACCAGAATTTATGTGTGGGTTTTGAATTATGTGTTGACCTAAACTCTTATAACCTATGGTGTTTTGTTTAGGGGTGCTCGATATTGGCTTTTTTACTGATATCCAAGATCCGATATTGTCTTAACTCTTAATTCTGATACCGATATATGCAGGGTCCCCCCAATAAAAAAATAAGTAAATAAATCATTTAGGTTGCTAACATTACACGTCTCCTATCATGAATGCTTAAGCTTTAAACTTTAACAGTGCAACATGACGACTACTTCAATTTAAGTTAGCAATATAAAAAAAGTCATGTTTTACTTTGTCTCCGACAGCTACTGAATGACATTCTCCTTCAAATAATCCCGACTAATGCTCTGTCATGCCTTTAGGCTACAGGTAATTGTTGCGTTCTTGCTGGGAACAAGTTAAATGAATAATATAATAAATAGTATATGTGAATTAATGATAAAAAGGTAAAAATGTTTTGGTTTTTGAAAACGGATCAAAGTGCGACCTCACTGTGTGAAACAGAGAGCGCTCTTGACGCAATTTCAGACCTATGACTGACGTAATTCCCGTTTTCCGTCACTGCCGTGTTTACTGTTTACAACTTAAATTGAGGCAGAAACAGAGAATAAACGAATCGTGCACACGCCGATTTTGCTTTACATATTTGCGTCATGGAGAACATTTGTCTTTGTAAACATCAATTTGTTTAGGGACTGTTTGGGCGTGTTTAAAAGTTATGTAGTTAATAAAATGTAAGCAGTGTGAGCATGCATGCTAAGCTAGGCTAATTGCTAAGCGATTTGCTGAGACATATTTTTTCTGTTTCTGTAAATTGTAGTTACGATGATAAAACATTTATAAAGATCTTCATTTAAGAAAAGCAAACCTAGGGTTTAGATTCATGTACTAGTTACTCACAGCTACATGCTGTTAGCGCAGGGTGACCAGATTTAAAAAACAGAAAACTGGGACACTAAAATTTTACTCTACATTAAAAAGACTGACAAATCCTTGCTGGTGACATATAACTGCTTTTTATTGTACAAAGTGCAACAACATTTGAATGTCCTATTAAAAAGAAGGACATTCTTTTTTTAGTGCAACGTTATGTTATTTTCTTTTTCAAAATAATACTGTATTTGTGAAACACATTGGGCAATATTAAATGTAGCCCTTTTGTGAAAAGAAAACAAAGAATGTAACTGAGCTTAATAAGAGCTTTTGATTGTAGAAAGTGCAAGAACAGTAACATTTGATCTATTTTCAAAATAATGACAGTTTTTCTAATATTTTTAGTGCAATCATTTTCCAAAACAATACTGTATTTTTTTAAACAAATTTGTTTGGGCAATATTAAATGTTAACAGAAAAAAAGTATTTCACTGACTTCAATTTGTTTAGAAACAAAAATATTGCCCAAAATGAACATCCCTATTGTTCCCTTTAATGTCACAGTAACTCTTTAAGAGTATTTCATGTTTGAGTGAATCTTTTTAAGCAGACTGTGGTTGTCAACAAGTCTGGCATGAAACTCAGAGCAGCTGTCATCAAAGTTCACCCGAGTAATGAGCAGTGCCTTCAGAGTGTCCAATCTAAATTATTTCTCTCATTGGTCCAAGTGTTGGTCATGAGAGAAAAAATGCGTCCCACAGAGGCGTTTGTGCCAGGTAGGCACATGGCAAACTGGCCGATGACGGCTACGTTTTTAAATGGGACATTCTGATGCTTAAAATGTGTAAACATTTCAGCCCAGCGCTCATCGGCTGGTTTAATGTCTCTGTCCCACAGTCCAATATTGTCAGATGTGTGAGTTTTGAGAGAAGTAACTTCGTCAAAGAGCTCCGTTTCATTGATGTGAATGTTTAGCAGCTTTGAGGAGACATACCTCAGGGAGCTCCCAACCTCATCCAAACCTGGTGGATCTTCAAGCAGGGTCCAAGAGAGGCACTTCATGTCAGTAAATGAGGAGCTCCACTCCTGCAGATATGAGATGCCACCTTCATAGAAGGTGTGGACGCTTTGCTTAAACACCTCCACTTGAGGGCGCTCTTGGGTAGCCAGAATGCTCCACCTGAAAAAACACCAATAATAATTCATGAAGCATTAATATCAGAGCCTTGTTTTTACATGACTTTTAATTTGAATATGTTTAAACTCACCTTTAATCCCATGAAGAGGGCAGCCTTCCCCCTGAGGTTTCTCCTGTAGATTACACAGCTGCCGTGAGCATGGACAGTTGTGCTCTTCTCTTTCTCCATCTTTTTGATAGTGTCATTGAACAGTGACGGTTGTGCATAAACCACAACCAGGCCTCACACACTTGGTTTTCTAGGAACTTGATGA